TGTTTTGCTATCCATTCGCTTCTGTTCACACCTCTGGTCTCTTATAATTCCCTACCAGGTTCAGCATCGAAGAGGCGAGATACGGAGAATTTTGCAGGACGGGACTACAGAACAAGGTCGTGGCAACCTACGGGAAGATGGCCAAAGTAAGTCACTGTTGTTAGTAGCGGTATGGCCTCACTTAATTACAATGCAGAATCTGTTGCGCCTCGTTTTCTAGATGTGCTGCGAGTACCTCACTGAAAATCTGATTATTGAAGTTGTTTTTTTTAAGTGAACTGACATGAGCACGCGTTTATTAACCAACTGCGCTTTTGTATTCATTCTGCGTCGCTCTCGTAGCATTTGGTTGCGCAGCATCTGTTTATAGAAGTGTCTCTGAGGGGAGGGGGGGGGTTGTTCGACACGACTGCGCATTTGACCGCATTTCGAAGCAATCGTATGGCATATCTCGGTTCCAGAAATCACGAAAACCGGTTTAGCTAATGTTTGAAGTATTCACACGGGCTTGTCATCCAGCTTACTTCTTATGCACAAGGGTCAACTGTAATCTAACTTTTGGACGTTTTGCATGTTCTTCAGTCGTTGCAGGAAACTGCCCTAGCAGAAACAGCCTACACACAGAGACCTTGGCTTATTTGGCGCATTAGCAAATGCTGCTACAGTGGACTTTCAAAAAACCAAGGGGCCAGTGTTCATCAGCTGTTTCTTTTTGCAGCAGTCTTTGACACCTGAGCAAGAGGTCGCGAAACTCTTGTCCTCTTTAAATTGTATGTTTGTCTTTTTCACCGCCTTAGCTTTCTTCAAGGTGTTTGCAGAAGAGTAAGTTTTCCAGGTCCAAACTAAGTAATCGATTAAGTCTACATTCACACATCGGAGAAAATCCATGAGAATTCGGTGGTTCTCCGTTATAATTTGGCATAGTCGGACCAGACGCTGTCTGTCCGGCACGTGTAACCCAAAGCTTTCCGATCAACCGACTTCCCTTTTACTGTGAACCTTACTGTAAATATTTTAGTCAGACATGAGCCATGGAACCAGACGTCTTTAACAAACGTGTCAGTGTCCTCGACGCTAAATTACTCTGGTAAATAATTTTGGACGAGAAAAGAGTGTTTGGTGTTTTAATTTTACGTTTGATTTGGCACTCCCTAGCCCACTGCACGGCACTTTTGCGAGCACTTGCAACGTACTAGCCAGCGAAATCTCGCGTCCCCAACCCACCCACTTCCTGTTATGCATGTCAAGCCTCTTTCCTATTCGACGTTGTTAATTGGGCTCAAATCCATGCTGGCTTTGTAGATTCTGTTCTGCGGACACCCTTTTGTGGCCCATCATTAGCTCTTCCTACTTGGTTTTAGGAGCGCCTTTTCGATTTTTTTAGTATCGGTTTATTGAGGGAGAGATAGGCGAATGCCTTTGAGCTCCCTTTTGGTAGCAAGGGGTCTAAAAATGCATGGATAGAAAAGAAAAATGAAAAAAACTTCAATTACATGCTTGCAAGCCAAGAGCGAAAATGCTGGCCGATTAGAAATAGTAAGCAAATATGCCTACTCGCTAAGCGCGAGTAGTATAATATGCATGTATTTATATTTTCCCTCATGACCCAGATTGGCACTTCTATTTCTTTTTATTTAATGCAGTTATGTTCATGTCGATTTTTTTTTATTCGGGCCAAATTGTTCGATTAGTCCATTAAGACTACTTTCTTTGTTTCGTCTTGTCTAGGTCTATGACCTCACTACGGGTTCCAAGATTGCTGACCTCTTCTCGTCGGTCAAGCAGAGCGACTACATCCTCAATAAAGCCACCTTCTCCATGGACGATAACCTGGTCCTGAACGATGGGGTTGTCTGGGATTTGCGTTCTTCCGGTAGTGTCGAGCACTTCCGAAAAGGTCTCTCCAACCTGCAAACAACGGTTGGCGGCGTGAGCCACAGGCCCATACACAAGATTGACAAATTTCAGGACCTTGTATCCGGCGTTTTCCACCCCAACGGCCTGGAGGTTATTGTTGGGTCCGCGGTCTGGGATATGCGTACATGGCGCTTGCTGCACACCGTCCAGGCGCTCGATCGTATGGAAGCTAGGTTCACAGAGAATGCTGATGCCATCTACGCCGGTATGCCCAGCGTAACTTCCTCTGTCCACTCACGTGTCTTTCCACTTCTGACTTATAATTTCTCTGCAAGTGGTTAATCCGTGCTTAGTGCCTTAATATAATTTTTTAAATTCTTTTTAGGTATCTTTGGCCCAGACTATGATGATGTTTTGGAGGAACTTGGCGCTAACAAGTTAGCAATGCAAAGTATGTTCCGGACGGTGGACGCGCTCGACTACAGTCTGATCGCCTCAGTCGACGTAAAGCATCGAATCGAACAGCTGGCCTTGGACTTCACTGGTCAGTACTTGGCAATAATTGCAAAAGTCGGGGAAAAGAACAGCAACGACCCAATAACTCAATGCCGAATCTACTGTATCGGCAGGAAACGAGTATGTTTTTGCGCCGAAATGTTGCCTTTTTGTGCTGCTCCGATGAGCCTTTTAAGTAAAAGATGCTCCTACGTAAACTGTGGCTGTGTCATATACCACTTTTCAAGTATAGTTATTCTTATACCACCCGTTAGGGCATACATCTGGTGCTGTACTGAAACTTGTTATTCTGTCATCTAGAGTGAACGAGAGGCAGACAATGACGAGGATGAGCAGCCCAATGAGGACGATGATGATGACGATGACGATGATGATGATGACGACGATGACGTAATGGATGACGACGATGATGATGACGACGACGAGGATGACGATGATGATGATGATGACGACGACGACGAAGATGATGAAGAGGAAAGTACCGGCAGCTTGTCGCCACGGCGACTGCGTACTCGGGATGTGGCTCGTGCTGCTGACGACCCTTCTAGTCCGCCCGATCACTCAGATGACACCTGGGAGGTGAACTCGCACGGCAACGGTAGCTCAAGTGACTCCTCCTGGGAGACTGAAGAGGAGGTTGAGGTGCCTCCGGACGAAGTCCCAGAAAATAACCAGGGGGATCGGGGAGACGGCGGTCACGGCGGTGCTGCAGGGGTGGGTGACCACACATCGAACACAGATGTCTAATGTCCTCCCCCTCCCTCCCGCTTTTCCACTGTACAAAAGCTACCTCCTTATGACGCTTACCTTTCTTTCCTCCTTGCCACCCCTCCTTCGGCGCTACTGTTGTCGTGGTCGCTTACAGAAACAGAATTTCCCTTTTCTACTTTGTCCTATATTTTGTGTGCCCGTCGTCAATATGAAAAAAAAATGTCCCATGTTCTTTCTTGCTTCATTTCGTTAGTCCTTCTTCGCTTTGGTAAGCCTTCTCGCTTTGTGGGCTGTCGGACGCGTGGGCACTTTAACGACTTGTATGCGCCGCAGAAGATTCATCGTAGATCTCTCTTCTCGCCGTTGAATCAACACGACATGATGGCTAAAATAGACAATATTTTCTGGCTGCGAGTCTTGCGCTCGCAGTCTACGTCTGGTCATCCTGAGAACATGCACGTGGTAAATGCTTTTACTCTCTGTAGCACCTACAGTTGCAACTGCACTGTACAATGTCCGTAATGGAGTCCGCCTAGGCATAAAGAGACGTGTGTAACTGACGCATACGCAGGGTAACGAACCCCGTGATCTGACGTCTTGGGCGCTAATTGGCTACCTTTAGTGTGTAGTACACGTCCTCTTTGCAATCAGCCTTCTGTTTTGCATATTTAACATTGGCGGTGCGTCACTGTGAGCGTAGCTCTGCTGTTATGTCGCCTTTCTAGCCAAAACATCGCTACGGAACTCTCGTAAGGCTTTTGATTACAGTGAAAAAATCTTCCATGGTTATATCGACTTGATCCAGACTCTACCACTCACGATCACGCTAACTGCAAGTATCGGAGAATTGAGGCAGTAGTATTTTATAGTTTGAAAGTTGCAGGAGTAATCTATTCCCCAGACGACTTTTGCTAAGCTAGAGTTTGGAAGGAATTCGGGAATTCAGTCAAGCCATCGGTTACTTCGTCCTTACTCTGACTTGCCATTCGTGGCTGTGGATATAAAGAGATCGAGTAGATAAATTTGAGCACGTGCTGCCCATCCAGTATTTA